GTTTAGGTTCCATAGGCAGCATTGACTTAATTGTCTCCACATCATGCAACATAAATTCTTGTGCAACTTTCCAGCCCTGTTACTGCAAATTGTGTAAGTTCCTGTACAACTGGGTAAAGAAAATACCCTTGATATGAAAATGGGAGAATGTACATCACGGCCAAGTGAATATGGTATTTGCAGCTAAACTTGCGGCTTTTTTCTGCCCTTTGGTACCTTTAGCAGTGTAACTGTCATGCAGCAATAACAGGTTTAATGCCTATTAAATTTCACAGCAGCAAAATTCATGGGGAGTTTGGCATTATCAAAATAATATTATTAAAAGCTTTGATTTGGAATTGATGTTATGATCTGACTGGATATTCTAGAAGTAAAAGCACCAAAAGTCTGATTTAAATGTTTCACAAAGGAAATAAAAGACCTGGAGTCATTCAGGTGTCACAGAGTAAAAATCAAGTGCTGCCCTTTTTTGCTTTTTTAATGTGCGGGGCTAATTATTTCTACTAATGTAAATGTCAGTGCAATGAACACTTATTTACTATGGCACAGTAAATAAATGGCATAGGAAATCCGAGAGTATGAAGAAATTCATCACGTCCTTGGCTCTGTTTAAACCATCTGCAAGTCAGGCAGTCATACGGGCTTAGCAGTGATTTAGATGCATGCTTTAAAAAAATGCTTTATGGGCTTATTTCTTTAAGAAAACAAACGAAAACTTAACAGGCAGTAATTGTGTGCATATATTTTGACTTTTAATGTTTTTTACCGTACTGGGGGCGTCCTGCAGCCCCCTCGGCGCTGCTCCCCTCACGGCAGTGCCCCTGGTTGTGGTGGGTGTCATGGCCGGCTGGGACCGGTTGGGGCCGGCCAGGACCAGCTCGGGGCGGTTTGTGCCCCTGCCCCAATGTGCGGAGCTCTGTAAAACAGGTGGGTTTGCATCAAATGCTGTTTTTTTTTTTTTTTTTTTTTTTTGCCTCCAGATTTCCTCTGCCAGTTGCTGCACCCCACAGTGCATGTTGCTTGCATTTGGGGCTGGAGCAGGCCTCAGCTTTGAATTTGGGTACTGTAGTGCTCATGCCTCACTTGGTTGGTCTTATCTGAAAATTTAGCACAAAGAGGGGCGGAAAGGGAAGTCTTTTGAAATGAATAATTCTCATGGCTGCTCTCCCTCCATAAAGCAGAAACTGGGGTAGACAGGTACTCTCTGAATTCAGAGCCACCTTATAATAAATGTAGCGCAGTATATCCAGTCATCCAGGATTTTTAAAAGTGATTATTAACTTCAGTCTGATCAGTAAAAAAATCAAATTGCTGTATGGGTTCAGATTTTTTTTCCTCCCCCCCCCTCCTTCCTTTTAGGTCTTGATTGATCCAAGTAGTTGGTGGTAGCTTAGACACCTAAGAATTATTTCTATTAGAAGCTGGGGACAGGGGAAGCGAATTACCTCTTTTTTTCCCCACCCCTGTTTACAAAACAGTGTATCAAGTCACTGTTTCAAGGAAAAAGAGCAATCAAACAGTGGTTGCTTCTGCCTTTTTCTTGAAGGTGTCTAAGGTCGGTGCTTGTCTGGCACAGCCTTCCTCCCCACACACCTCTTCTAGAGGGCAAGAGCCAGTGCCCATGTTCTAGGTAAGATTTGTTATTTCCTAAAACTAATTAAACAGTTGGAAATGATCAGCTTTAATGATGTTTTGTTTGTGCAGTAGTTGACTGTGCATTGGTGTTCAGTAAAGTAATTCTGGAATTTGACAGTGAATACTCAAAGTGAATCCATAATTACCCTTTTTTCCCCTCCCCATTGGCATATCATCTTCCTTTGCCTAAATCCCTTGAACTGCCTGCGTCCACAGAGTAAAATTAAAAATAAATGAGTTAGTCTATGATTGCACTCCTTTTTGATTTTGAGCTCTGAAATGTCACAACAGAGAAGCTTTTTTCCCCCCTTCTCTGAGGAATCTGGTAGGCTGCGAGTGAGGGTTTTTTGATAATTGTGCTACTTTGTGGGCTCATCATATTCTCTGTAATTGAACCAGATGTTGAGCCTTCTCTAGAGGAGAAGGATCTTCTGAGTCTGTGTCATACTTTATCAGCCTTGCATCCCAAAAGGTTTGAGGTTAATGTAAAAATCAAATAGTACAGCAGCTGCCGTGTGTAATGTTGCTGTAGGTGGGTAATCCCTCTTGGACTGAAACACATAAAATAGTGCAACTCGCAGCTGCACACTAGGAGTAACAAATGGCTGGATCTTAAATTATTGCAGGCTCTTTTTGACAGCTGGTTAAAATCCAGCTATTCGTATGCAGAATGACACTTGCTATTGCAACGGTGTGACGTTGATTGAAAAAGTAGTTCTAACATTCAGCAGACTGAGGGGTATAGACCCAGGCTGCTCGGTTAAGCGAGGAACTTTTAGCAATGTTTTGGAGGATACCTGGAAAATGTTTCAGCTGATCAACTGTCCTGGTGTCTCCTACACAGTGACATATGTCTAAAGAACACAGTCCATCAAATCTGCTTAGATTATAGAAGTTTCATTACCTAGTAAGTAATTAGCCATTAACTGGAAGAAGGTAATAAACAAAATGACTAAGATAGTATGTGTTAAAATTCTTTAAAAGATATATTAAACCTTGTGTCTTACAAAATCGAAGTTTGGGATGCAAACTAATGCATCACATTACAGCAGAGGGCTCTAGCCTGGGCCTAACGAAGCTGGCGTTGGAGCTGGTTCAATCCAAAATAGTGCAGATGATCCAAAAAGTGGAGTGCTGGAAAAGGACAGGAGGGAGGGTACAGCAGGAAGACAAGGCTAGAATGATGATACTATTAAACATTAGATTTTTCTTTTTCTTTGCTTGATTGCCAGCTAGAAATGCTATAGAAACAGGGGCTTTTCCAATCATCGTTGTCTGGAACAAGAAGGCACATAAGCATGCGGAAATGGAAGTAAAAGATGGAGGGTTTTTTAGCAATTTTAAAACATGCTCCAGTAATTCTATTTAAAAGTCTTTTAAAATGTAATTTGTTGGGTATAGGCATGGGTAAAGTGAAGGGAACAGTTTTCTCAAGTGCTTCTGTATCTTGTTAGGCAATGCAGCGACATCAAAAAGGGAGAAAATCCCTTTAGATGCTGACAAGAGAGAAATTTTATTGAGGGACTAAGGGCAGCCCCAGCAGAATTCTCACTGCAAAACTGGCTCTTTCCAGCAGTGCGCTGCAACTTGCCAAACCACTATTTGTGTGAAAAGACTTTTGCTCTGCTGTAGATCAGCAGAGGAGTGATAGACAGTCACAAGACTCAAGTTCATCCTGCTTTTGATAGTTTCACTAGCCTTGAATTGCTGGGATCAATGGTTCACACAGCTGCAGTTTAGTTTGGCTGAAGTCTTCTTTCGGTGCCTGACCTTCGAGAGAGTCGGTGGCCTGTTTCAGAGTGGACAGTTAGGGAATTTGGGCTCCAGAATACTGTCTAATTCTGTTGCAGCCTGTGATAGTGCTTCTGATTTTGAGGATGAAGCTGTTAACATTTCCAGAATATTAGCATTGTTGGAACCCCAAAAATGTTTAATTTTAGAGTTCATTTCAAGATCATGAAAAGTTAGGTATTTTGATAATGTGCAATAGCTTAACCTCAATTTTTCATTTTCAGTTGTTAACCTGTGGCTCACATGAATTTCTCTTTATATACATAAAATAAATATACATATATTTAAATTATAAAACAAAATCTGAACTTTTTACTTGAAATATCTCTGTAAAGATTGTGAAAATAAGTTTTTAGAGCTCCTTCAGCCTTGTCTTGGTGCTCCTCAAGATACATCAGATGTGGTGAAGTAAATGATTTCAGTGAAAGAGAAACAGACTTTCATAGCTGTTCTTAAAGTAAGTGAGAATAGATGCATGAAAAGTTGTAGATGAATATGTCATTTTCCCTCTTAAGCTTGAATCTTTCCTTTTAAACTGACTAAGCTTGCATGGTACCAATAGCTCCCTAAAGTTTCTAGGGATACATTGGAAAAATTAATTAGTGAAATATGATGAAGAGGGGGTGATGCAGAATGGATTGCATTTCAGTGATATGTAGCATATGTTTTGCGGCCTTAACATGAAGATGTTAGGCACACTAGCAGAATGAATCGGGTATTTTTCAGTAGTGCGGGGATTAATCGGGCAGCACTGAGAGAATGCATCGTCTTGGTCTGAACATCGGAGGTCCACAGAAATATGGGTGGACTCGAGGCAGAGTTTTTCAGCACGGATTTCTGTCAGCCAGGATCCGTGGCCTCCCTTGCCATGCCAGGCATTCCTGTCTCACCAGGACCACTGAATACCATCCAGTTTTGTGCTGCCAGTTGTGTAAAGTAGGGAAGAGAGGATGGACAAGTCCAGCACCTTTAAAGTTAATGAATTTCAAATGGGAAGTTAAGAGAATTGCTCTTACAGAAGCATAACTTTCATAGCACTTTCCATACTTTGCAGAAGGCCACTGCTCCTTCCCTGGAAGAGCTTTTGAAGCATGTTTTCACACACCCTTTGAACTTGCTTAATAACATTTGTGTTATGCATTATACATGATCTTTTCTTTTGTATGACTTGCCGTAATAAAGCTACAATTAACAGAACTAGAATTTTCATGTTAGTCCTAAGTGGCAGTGAATCACTTCTTTGCTTTCTTTATGGCATGGTATGGTCAATCATCTTGTTTGTTTGTCGATATTTCCCCCGCTTTTTTTTTTTTTCCTCCTGATTGGGTATTTGGGAAAAGCCCAACGTTATTTAAAACACTCCTGTAGTTTTGTACTATTTCTTTCAGATTTTTTTTTTCACTTTTAATGTTTCAATACCTTACTTTGTATAAATTGCTAGCATTCAGCAGTGGGGAGAAAAAAATGGAAGTGTGAAAAAAAGTTTTAAAATTCTGGAAGGGTAATTTTGCTGTAGTAGCCAAAGGCAGAGATGCAACTCTGATACTAACACTGTTTAGCAAAACTGCTTTGCTCTTGCGACAGAGATCTTGCAAAAGGATCTGAAAGAATTGCTATAAGTGGCTTTACTTTGTGATCTACTCTAATGCATAGGGTGTTTGGGTGTTCTTTAGTTGAGAACATGTGATATAGCATAGTATCAGAGCGTCTTAAATAAAAACATTAACTAAAATAGTGATCCTATATGCATTTTTTAAATTGGCATAATGGCACTTTGGGAGCGATCCCTGTTTATTCTTGGCTAATCTGTCGATGTGCCTTTTGCAAAAAGGACTTGGTAGAAATCCTCGCATCTCTTTTCAAAAAGTGTTGAAGCATTTCTTGTCACTTGTCATACTTGCTCATCATGATTCATCTTATGTTGCTCTTGATCTTTGCAAGCACAAGCATTTGAGATAGCACTGGGAGCAAAGGAGGCTTTATATCACATTTCCTGCCGCACAAGTCTGAAATTTGCCAGATAGACCTCAAAATAAACTAGAAGTTGCTCCAAATTTATTTAGTTTCCTATGTTTCCAGAAGCCTTCTGTTGGATATTCTTGCATTTAAGCTACTTGGAGCTTTCCCCAAGAAATCGGAGTATGGAATAGGGAAGTACCCTCACCCACATGCATGTTCATTCTCTCTTGGGCTCTCTCTCCTTGCCTCAAAGACAAGCTACAGGATTTGAAAGTGCCTTAAGGAACCCCCAGAATATATTTGTGCTGTCCCTCTGCTGCAAAGAGCCTGGCTTTATGTGAGTAAATAACTTGCCACTGGCTATTACAGAAGAAACAAAACTGCAGAAGAACACTGAAAGTTCCTGAATAACTGGAACTCTATTTTTGCACAAATTATTGTCTAGGAAAGAGAGTTACTTCAAATTGAAGGATGAGGCATTTTTGACAACCTCTTCTGTTTTGGTGGTTCATTGGTTCGTTTAACTTCCCTAAGCTCCTTGCCAAGTAGTCATAGCAAGACATTTCTGTAAAGAGAAATGTTAAGCATGAGGTGTTTGACATATTCCCACTATTTAGTCAAGAAATATATGCATGGTTTTCTTGCAGTATTTAGAACAATACCTTCAGTTTCCACAAACAAGCTTCAATATTTACACTGGAGTTTTGCTCATTTGTGTCATCTTATAAATGTTGTTCTGTTATGCTACAAACCATACATACATATTTATTATGATTTTTTTTTTTAACAGACACTTCCATTGGGGATGGGAGATGGACAGCTCTTTACCTGGACAGATGGCTTGAAAAGGAAGGACTGGCATGATTATGAAAGCATTCAAAAAGATGCTATGCGTTCAGGTATACTGAAGTTCAGAGCAAATTTAAGTGTGTTACTCATTATTTTCCCCGTGATTTTTTTTTTCTTGTAGTCGCACAAAGCATTTGTGATTCTTGTAGTGTCTCATAATGTTCTGAAATGAGGGGGGACATACTAAGCACAAAATGCGTCAACACATTAATAGCTATATATTGATTGTACCAGGAAATGGCAAAATAATTTCTTGCATTTTTCATTTTGTGATCAGTTCTTATCTTGTAACCAAATGTAAGGAAAAGTGCTGCAGTTTTCAAACAAAGGGAGGTATGTTAATGCTGAAGTTGCGCTGTCCTGAAATTGATAGATAAAATCCAAGCCTAATACCTGTAAGTTTCAAAAATATCCAAGGTTATATTAAGGACAATTTTGACCATATTACTGTTGTCCAATTCCTGTCCTCTAGTCTTGCCTACCATAAAGCTACTTTACTTCACTCTGACAGTCCAAAAGTATTTGGAAATGGGAGCAAATTCTATTTACAGATGCATTAAGGTCTGCTTTGTTGCAGGTAGTAGTGGAATTTTAATATAATAGCTGGTCAAATATACTTAAATAATGAAATTATCTTAACTGCAAGAAAATTTTCTTCCTGTCCTTCATGTCATATGTTTGCAGTCTTCCCTTTCTCGTGCTCGTGTTCAGATTTGAGTCATTCTCTTCTAATTTATAACTATTCAGCATAAGAATTAAATTAAAAGGAAGGAAGGGAAACAGCAGTCAAATTGCACTTTAATCAGTGTCTGAAAGTCATTATTTTACAAAGGCCAATCTACTGTTGTAAAATAAATTATGCTGTCTCGATCCAAATGTCAGAAGACAGTCAACACCTCCCCAATATGCTTCTGCAGCTGAATTCAGTCGACAGCTTCATAATACTTGTTAAGTACTTAATTTTGCAAGGTTCTGAAACAGTAAAATATATCAAGTGCAGGTAATTTTGTAAATTTCTTTCTCTGCTGAATTTATCCCATTCTCTTCTGAATCTTTTAGGTCACTGATCAAAAAAGCCTCCTCTTCCTTCCTATGTGTTCTGAGGGAGATGCGAAAGGGGAAGGGTGGGTGAAATTATCCCAGGCAATTTAAGAGCTGTCAGATCAATGTTGATTTTATTGCAAATCACTAAGTGTAGGATGTCGGATGGGTAAGAGAGAATCCACGAAGTGGAGGCGACGTGTGCAGAAACATGTACATAGGCAGGGAGTATCCCAAGCTTGTTGGTTAGAAGGGAATGCTTGTGCCTTGCTCCCACAATGATCTTTTGGAAATGCACTTGTAATTACATTGTAGTATGTAGTATAGATGCAATATATTTTGAGAAATAAACAATAATATTTAATCTTATGTGATGGCTTGCTGTGCCTGTGTAATAGTACCGTGTTCTAGACTGTGGAGTCCCCAGAGTTATTAGCAAACAATATTTTGTGCCTCTCTATTTCCTAGTCCTACTCCTGATATTATGACTATGGCAGTATGCCCTAACGTATGTGGCCATTTTTTTCAAGTAAGCTTCTATTCTTATAAATAATAATAAATTATACTGACTTATTTATGTTTTTATTAGCTTCCTTTTGATAGTGCCTGCTGAATTTGAGCATGTAAGAAATCTTTTTAATGACTTCTAAGTAGTAGTCATTATTATTCATTAGGCTAAATTAACTTTTAATGATTTTTTTTCCGCTTTGAAAAATCACAATATAGTAAATGCAAAAGCAAGGCAAGAGTATTTCAGTGCACTCGTTTGGGATATGTGATAAAATTTCTGTCCCTAATAGCAGAGCAGAATTTAGCTGAAATAAACGTTTGGTCAAAAATTGCCTGGAGAATAAGCTCTACAATCCAAAGGCATGGAAATAGCAGTAAGGAACTCTCTTCTCAGGAGATTACAGAAAAAGAAAAAAGCAAATTAGAAAAAGGTGAGATCATTTTAGAATTCAGTTTATCTCTTTTTCTGTAAATAATACGATTTCCTAAGTACTGGGAACGTGAATTTCAGAAATGAAATGAGGGAGAGGTGCTAGATTTCTTTTGCAATGTCAAATTTTTTGACTCTCTTAGCTTCACCAGACCAAAGCATATGTTCCTTAGTTGGAATGGTCTTTCCTTTAGGAAAACATTCAGTCCTCCAAAAGCTAAACAGATAAGCTGTTTGCAAGAAATAGCAGAAAGTAAGTAACATTTCTACTTATATCAAGTATTCTACGTCATCCATGTCTTGGTTCCGACCTGCCATGCAGTCTGGCATAAAAATGCTGACGTGAGAGGACTAATCTGTCAATAGATTGTCTCAAATTCAATTCAGAATCAAACCGAGAGGACTAATCTGTCAATAGATTGTTTGTCTCAAATTCAATTCAGAATCAAATATGTATTTATGCTGTTTCTAACATTAATTCATATTCTGTTAGCTTAGTGGTAGTACCTGAGAAGGATCTTAACACCGGACTGGCAAGGCCTTACATGTGAAAGCTCTTCATGTAGCAGAAACATAAATAAAATTTAAGGACTCTTGCTGAGGCTTCACTAACTGGTGTTAGCTTTTCAGTTTCTTGCTGAAATTTGAAATTTGCTAGTGGCAAGCACTCTTCAAAGGCCAGTTTCTTCTAGCTGTATTTATTTGCTGATGCTTTGTTTGGGTGGAAAATATCCTTGTCTGGTTTCCACCTGAAGAAACAAAGGGGCCTTGTCTCTAATATGACACTGTGAAATGTATTCATGATGCATTTTTCTTGGGAGGAGATGTTCTCTTTTGGAAAATACTTACTCCTGGCAGAAAATACGTGCTTAATGTGACCTTAGACTGAAAGGAAAGAAATTTACACAATATTGGTAAAAGAAGTATTAAATAAATCAATTTAGCTCATGTCTCCACACTTCTAAAAAGCAGTATGTCTTTGTTCAACTCAGGAAAATGTCTTACATTTGTCTTCCATCATGTTGAAATCATCAGAATGTTTAGTGCTTTTCCAAGAACTTCTCAGTTTCTTTTTGTTTCAAAGAACTTGGTTAGAACTTTATTTTAGAAATTATATGAAGTGAGTAAAAGATAACCAAAATAAAAAGATTTTTTTCCTTGACAAGAAAACAGAAAATCATTTATTCACATGTGCCTGCTGCTGAGCTAACACGTACCGAGCTGCTGAAACTCACCGGGCAGCCAAGCAGCACAGGATGAACCTGGCCCACGAGTTGAGTCTTGCTATACTGGAGAGGGTTTCCCCCTAGTTTTCTTTATTGATAAAGACTGTAATAGAAAACAAAGCAAACAGGCCCGAGGCACAAGACTTAAAAATAACAGTGCTGGTTTGTGCACTTGGGTTGAAGTTGTTCTAAAAGGCTAGCAAAGGTGCACCCCTGCTCTGCATGTGTAAACCAGCTGATGGGTGACGTTTCCTCTGCTATTGGAAGCAAAGGCTGCAAGGATGCACTGTCCATTTAGGAAATTTATTACCTGCCTTTTTTTTTTTCTTTAAATACTCAAATAACCTTTCACATAGGTAGATTTTTCATCTATGCCTATTGCCATTGTAGGTATCACATATTTAGAAATTTTCTGACTGGCAGCTCAATATAATTTTTTGACCACTACTTTTCTGTAGAATCATTTTGGCAATTAATTGTTTATATTGTGTATACTATGTTTTATGTTTAGTATTGCTTTTGTATGACTTTGTAAAAGCATTGGAATGTCCTCCCTAGCAGTGATTATTTTATATTTTTGCTTGCACCATATCTCTTATTTTTTATGCAGTTACAATATGTTTCACTCTTTTTCAATGGAACTAATACTTCCAAAGTAGTTCTAAGAATTTTAGTTGCTTAATTTTCACATGGGAATCTCGTTGCATAATTGTTATGCTGATGACAGAGCATAGAATTAGACAATTATTTGCCAGTTACCCAAACCTTAATCTACTCAAGTTTAGAAAGGTACATTTAATGTTTCATATTAAATAGCACAGAATAGTACAGAATAGACTATGCAAAACCAAAATTATTTCATTCAGTCATCCCAATCACATACATTTTTCTCCGAATATTGCTGTTTCATTACCTGAAAACCAGTCATTAAAATATGAAAGAGAGGAATGTGAAAGATTACCCTAAAAAGTCATTCCTGACTAAACGGTTTTGGTAGACAGTTTTGATAAGAGAGGAAAAATAGAAATTTAATTGCTTCCATTTTGTGAAATAATGCAGCAAGTCAGTCGGATATTACCGTGGAGGGAGAGTGAACAGAATAAGCTTATCCAAGAAGCTGACTTCATTGCAGCTGATATCTCGTGGCATCTTTTTGACAAGATATCAGCATTTAAACTAAGTGCAGTTCCTATTAATTTGTTTTCCTGTGAGAACCCAGCTGAGGAGTAGATGACATGTCTTGATGAAGAATATGCGTAATTCACATGTTAAAAAAAAAGAAACTGTAAACAAATGCAAATCTTACATCTGTCATCATTTTGTTAAGGCAAATAGTAAACATTCTTATCTGTGTTTTGGGAGCATTATTGTCTTCAGCTCAGAGGTGTAAGTGCACCCTAGGTAAACACAGCTTTTTTTTTTATTTTCTTAGTAGCCCAGCTAGCTACTGGAATGTGTAACAGTCCAGTTACAACAATGCAGGTTTAGTGAGAGTGGTGTAAATCTACCTGGATCTCTGCATAGAGATCCTGGATGGATCATGGGCCCAGATGCTGAAGCTATGATGTTGCCATTTGTTCATTACTGACCTGGCAATTCTCTTCATATTATCAGAGATTTTCCTAGTTTCTTCCTGGTGCCCTGGGAAGGATTCTGTAGAGAAAGGTCTAGCAAGATTGTCGCCTCAGGAGTGAGACAACTGGTGTGGAGCCAATGACTTCTGAATTTCCAGGCTTTTCTGTGCAGTCAAAGATCCCTGAATGCTCTCATGAGGTGTGAGAATTCCAGGAGAGAGCCAAGAGGGCCCTACTTCAACAGCATCCTTGAGGAGACAGTCTGTTTA